CACGGGGGTGCTTAACTTTTTTCAGGTGTATATATATATACACACACACAGGTAACTTAAATACAACTAAAGGTGACCAAATTAACCCTTTTCACACAGTGTTTTTTTTTAAATCATGGCATATGCTATCAGTAAGTCAAAAATAATTCCATATGATCTCACCCCCTCAAATCAATTACATAGTAATACTATAACCAAAATGTTCAGATTTAATATTAATGTTATAAATTTTATTATACATTTTAGATGAAGTAATAAAAAAAAATCAAATAATCAGTCCTAATTTTGATTTTCTTGGCCTGTATTTCAGATAATGAGATGTTTAAGGGTATTTACTTTTTATGAATGTAAACAGCAGAATGACCAATATACTGCCACCAGCCTGGAAAGGGCTAAAGCAAAGGTTCAGGGAATTGTAATTACCTTGTATTCACTGTATATTGGCTCCACTGCAATTCTGTCTTCTTTTTGTGCTTTTCTGACAAATATACATCAATTCAATAAAAACGATGGATATCAAATAACATCACCATATGCAATGAAGGGTCAAACAGAACCAATGTTACCCAGAAACTTTTAAGATAAAAGTTTAAAACTAAAGTAATTAAACATAATTTTCTTTAAAGTTATATATTCTAAACAAAAGGATTTATAAAAGAAAAAAATCTGAGTAAATTTTGATAGAATATACAAGAAATAAACTTCATAGTGACAGCAAAAATGATCCAACACAGTTTCACTTGCATTTTATTAATGTGAAGATGTGTTTTTAAAAACTGAACTTTCTTTATCATTTGTGAAGTTGATGGTATGCCAAGTTTACCAACTTCTCGCTTGGAGAATAATGCTTTTATCCACTTCTGTTATAGTGTCCACCATGACAATGCCTGACTTGGACCACAACCAATAAAAAGGTTGATTTACCCAATATTTATACCACTACAGCACTGCCTGTAGTAATCAAATTTTGAAATAAAAAGCTATACAAGTTTAGTTTTTCTTTAAACCACTAATCATGAATAGAAACTTCACTGGACTTTAAGTTTTCATGTAGAATATGAAGTTTAATTGTACATTTTAAGTTTTCTTCTTATAGTTATATAGTAATATACACACACACTTCTATTCTGGTAAAATATCTACCACTGGATCTCAATCATAAGAGTACATCATTTCAAAGTAATATAATCTAGAGTAACAACTGTTAAAAATGAGTAGCAGCTAGGGTTTTGTGTTTAAAGGTAACATAATATTTCAGTTCTAACACAATAACCAACTCCATAAACTTTAAGGTACTAGCTATAATAAAGCGTAATTCAATAATACAACTACAAATATTTATCGTGCTTGTGTACTGATCCAGGTGGAGAGTTGTCTACTTGGAACTTGAGCCCTCATAGCTCAGTTAATGTTTTACTTAGTTCAAGTCCCAGTCAAGGCAGATTGCTTTTCATTCATTTCACATGATTACATGAAGTAACCTTTTTTGTTTCAGATGCAATTTAAATAAATAACTTATTAAAAATGTATTAAATGTTTAAGATATAAACTGTCATAAAAGGTACAAGTGTCATAGATGAAATTTCACCATTCTATGACTTGTATATTTGGATATATTGAGATAATTTTTCTAAATTTCCATGCAGTTTCTACATTCTGTTGAACTCATCCATACTGACCTCTGTCGAAAGTTTGTAAACATGTTCTAAACCTTTTACACAGGTAAAGATTACATACTGTGGACTTCGTTCTTAAGTCTCAAGCTAGCATTGTATGCATTTCTGTATGAACTTCCAGACAGTTAGCATACTCCAACAGGTAATATGGAATCCTTTACAAGCTGGCTATTGGGTGAAGTATGTAAACTGAAGACTGGGATACATCAGTCTTTTGCCTGACTAAAAAAGTGGAGGAGGGAAAGGGGATTTCATGTATAATAGTTTTTCACTTGTATCTTGCTTATGGTCTCCTTTGTCTTGGAAAAACTCTTCACCTCAGCAGCCATTTAAGTCACAACAGTAAGTTTTAATCTGACCAGTTTAACCACAAACATACTCGTGAATAAAGATTTTGGTTTATTTCTTCACCTGTGTTTTTGTTTTTTGTGTTTTTTCGCTTTGTTGTCTGTGTTTGATTTATTTCTCCCTTAACAGTCCTGAATCTGCATTTAAGGATACTTTAAACTTATTTGTCAGATATTCCTGTATCTAAATACAACACAATCTTTTTTGTGGAAAATGAGATATGATTACTGAAGTACAAAATAAAGTTGTATGTATGATATTTATGCTCATAGTTGCCAGTCTGTTAGATAAACACAAATAGTTAGGATTGGTCAGGAGAAGGGAGGAGTTTTCTTACAATTAAAGAGGAGGAAATATGTAATAATCCAGTTGGAAATTTTCTGCTTGAAGCTTCAGCCTTCTTGCTCAGTTGGTAGTCTCAAATTACAAGTGTGAGGCAGGAGTCGTGGGTTCAATCTCCATCCAAGACGAATACTTTTAACCTATTTTTAGTTATTAAAATTCTTCTAAAAGCTAGCTTCTAGTCCTTAATCATACATTCCTACAAAAAAACAATCACTAGTTCACTTAAAACTTCCATTAGAAAAAAATTGTTTTGCAGAAGATCTCCACATAGTTCTTTAAAGTATGCTGGTGTAAGAAGCAGCTATTATTTCAGTATCTATAAATCTCTCATTTGTCTTATATCAAATTTCCTTAAAGTTGTATTTTGCAATGCTAATTTGCTATGTTTAAGCATCACAAGGATTTTTTCTTTAACAAGTTTTTTTTTAATTGATTCAAACTAGTGTTTCTACATTATCAAAATATGTACTTTGTATGTCACATTAATACCAATTATTTAATTTAGTGTTAAATTAACTAATTACGTTTGAGGTCACTACTTACTAAATTAATGTACAATTCTAATTTGAATATCATTTACACAAAGTTTAAATTCTTCTTTATGAAATCATTCTTTGATTAGTAGAAGAAACATGGGTATGCTGCGTATTACCAAATACAGTTTTATGACAAATACTACACTTTGTTGCAGTTGTCTAGCTAAATACTTCAAATTACATTAGCCTGAACTGATAAATAACTTGAACAGACAAAGTAAAAAGTGTTACTAACTGAGAAAATTCATGTATTTAAAAACTTTGTCTCACATATGCTCCTGTATTTTGTTTTAATTACAGTCTCAATGAAGAAAGACTGAAAAGAAGTCTTCTTTTATGTACAAATGACTGGCAATTATTGGTTATCATGATAATGCAAATCAGGCATCCTAACCTAAGATGATTGAACTAACCCCTCATGCATGCAGAAAAGGAAGAAAAAAACAATTGAATAATATATCCAACAATACATTTTTTTTGCTTGAGAACTGTAGCCCATACAAACTCTTGAGAAGTAAAATAAAGCTAGAAATAATTATATCAGCTGTTATGAAAGTAAAAATTATATATATATATATATATAATGCAAGTGTAATTTAATTAATATTGGAATGTACATCTTACTTTCCATTTTTGTGTTGGAACCCTTCTTCAAATTCACGTATAATTTTCTTTAATCTTCGTTTCTCGGTTCTTGTTTGCCTTTGCCGTTGAATCAACTCAGATCTAAGTTTTGAATTGTCAGGTAAATACAGGGATTAAAATACTTATCCATTTCAATATTTATTTAAGAAGCATAACATCACATTAATTGCTTTATTATAAGTGCAAAGTTAAATGGTTTGGAACAAATATAAACCATATTAGAGCACTTGCAACTTTCTTATGAATTGTTCCATAAAGTCAACATATGCTGAAAATTACAAAATTACAGGTAAGGACTTAACCTTAAATAAATTTATTTATGTTCACACATCTCTTAGGACTAATTATAATACCACAGTTATCTAATACTAAGGGCTTAATCAAAAAAGTAACACAAAAACAAAACACCACTTACAAAGATAACTCGTGAAGATTGGAATTTTTTATCTCTGATATCACAAATTCCTCTGCTGGTTTGGTTATATCACTAACTCTATGATCAGTCACACAAGTATGCTCTTTTTTAGGCAACAAATTAGATGTAAATGTTTCTGTAACAGATTGTAGATTTCCTTTCACCTGGCCCTAGAATAATATACATAAACTATATGCACAATAGTCATTGGTTGTCAACTTTAAATTGACAAATGGAAGGTTCACAAACATAACAGTGAAACTATAAAAAACAACATCTATTTAACTTAGTAGTGTACACACACACACACACACACAAGTAGAGAGAGCACGTGTGCAAGGAAACAATGAATTTGAAAAAATTATTGTGTTGTTTTAACTGTGGAAGAATTTATTAAGAATTTCAAAAGTGTTCAGATTTTAAAAACAGTGGTGGTAATTTGAAAATTCACTGCAGTTCTCTCATTGCTTGTAATAAAAGTGCAGTTGCAATAAATAAATACTTTTTTTTTTCCTACAGTTATATAACCAATAGGGTATAAACACACACACACACACACACATGCATGCACAGAGCACTGTTGCACGACCACCTGTAATTTTACACTACACACTCACCAAGGTGCAATATCTTTCTGGAGAGGTAAAGTTCATGGGAACATTTTCTAAAATTGGCTGTAGCTCTATTCCACTTTCTTTTCCCACAGAATTTCCAAAGGTGCTAACTCTGCCAATCATTCGCTTAACATCGCGATAATGATCATACACAGGACGCATCATCTCTCTCTGAATCTTTGTAGCTGGTCGACCATAAATTTTTTCAAACCTCAAAAGTTCTTTCTGAACAGCTAACTTTTCCTCTAGCATTTGGTCTTTCATCATATCCTAGGGAATATTGTATCTAACTTTAAGAATTATATAAAATACTGAATATTAATACTAGGATACTTATCCAAATATTCTCAGAAAGTTAAATATGCATATACCATCATAAGTCACCAGATGTTAAACATTGTGTTGCCACCAGAATGCACGTTAACTATAAAAGTTACTGTACCCACATACAATGTTCACAACCTATGTTTTTAACCACAAATGTACATCATATGTGAGGATTAAGTGCTAAATAAATATAATATTATTTTTTTAACTTTGAATTACTGAGGTGTATGTATTAAAATGTTTAGCTATACTTTTTAGTAGTCTGTAATCTTAATTTTTCTTTTTCACTGTTTTAATTCCAACTGATCTTGTTATCAAAATACTTCAAATATGGTCATTATGTTTCAAACATAAGAAGTTATAGTAAAAGTGAATCACTGTAATTCATGGCTTGGATGGCTTTAGAGACTGATTGACTCTTACACAAATATCCCTTTCCTTCATAACACTATTAAGGTTATTCCCATCCAAATTATACTTATAAT